TGAGTCCCTACTAGAGTAGAGAAGAAAGAAACACACGCTGTGTGGCTTCGGCTGACAGGAATATTGAAAGTTTATATGAACAAAAAGCACAAACTCAGCTTTTCTGCTCATCCAGTTGGTCCATTTTCAGAAATAGTGGGGAAAAAAGGCTACGCAAAGCATAACTAAGACTGACATAAAAACATAATTCTTTTTTTTTTAACCCCCAAAAGTGTGCAATGCTGAAACACGGCTGGATGAGGGGGTGGGCATGGGGGTAAAGTGTTGTCAGGATGAGGGAAAGAGCAGAACAGTGTGTCTAAGAGGGCAGCACTAGAACTGCCTTAGCACTGTACAGTAGTAGCCCTTCAAAATTTGGCTGGTCCCCGGCTGGTCCCCTATAATTCTTTTTTAAATATCAATCTTTGTACTCAAATATTCTTTCTGTCATGATTTGTGGACATTAAAATCTAAATAGAAGCATCATCTCCTGGTCAGACCCTGTAATTCAGTGAAAGGGGGGAGTCAGAGTGAAAAATATGCAAGAGGGGGTCACTCCATGACTGGAAGTTGGAGGGGATTTAGCTGGGAGTTGCAGGGAAGTGGGCTGTTACTGTGACTTAACGATAGCATCCTTAAAGCCTAATTTATAGATTATCTGGATTAATTTGGGGATTAGATCCTTTTTTTAAAAGGACTGGAAAATTCATTGCATATGCAACATGATGCAATAAAAAAATACCATTTCTACACAGAAGGGAAGAGAGAGTTGCATCAAGCACACAGATCCATGCATGCAGACGTCTCTTGCACAACTTCACCTTTCCGCATGAAGTCTGAAGACAATCGGCTCTGGACAAGAAATTATTAAAGGCCATGAAATAAGTGAAACTTTGGTGTCAAGCAGATTGTGGTTAGTCCAGAGGAAAATGTGAAACAAAATTGAAATTTTAGTATAAATAAAAAATGCTAAAACAGATCAGCTCTTCTTTAAATATTTGTTGTCAAGAAGAATCGTTACAACATAGAAATAACAAAGCTAACAGGAATATTGTTATTCTCTCTGCTGGTAGGTTTACTGTAGGATCACTGCTCTTCTTGGTCTTCAGGATCTAAGTTAGACTAAAGACCAAATAGTTGAGGAAAACCTAAAAAAGAAATATCTAAATACAGGACAAGACTAGAAACAACTTTAAGATCTGCTCATGATGATCTCTAGGCTGAAGTCCCAACAAGCCGGTCAGTGAACTCAGTTCATCAACCCAGGAGGTCACACAGCAGCTGTTGATCCAGCTGAGCAGTTCAGTTTAATTAGTTCTCACTTAAATCAGGTGGATGTTTAAAGGTATAATGGAGGATTTTTACGTATTTTTGAAAAGACCTGCTCTCTCCAGTTAAAAAAAGAAAATGCACATGCACAGCCCTGTACCCACTCCTGAGAGGGAACGACTATTATACGCCTGCGAGAGCATGCACATTTCTCCTTGTGCACACTTTCTGTTAGTTGCTGTTTGCAACGCTCAAACAGCTTACTTTCTAAAGGTAGATTTGCAATTTGTCCACCATGTCAGACTCACCAGCAGTAAGTGAAAATGAGGAGGAGCAAGTAAGAAGTCCTTACGCAAAAATATCACCAGAATTATTGACAATTAGGAGGACCACTTATTTATATGATTCATATGGAACATATCAAACATCCTCCACTATAACTTTAAGCTAAGGCAGAATCCTGGCATCAATTATCATGAGAGATTTGAACATATAGGAGCCTGGAAACCTCTGCTTCCAGCAGTTCTTCTGGGAACAGCCGGTCCAGAACCAGGGTAAATAGAAGCTTATCATGATTTCATGTGAAACATAGTCAGTGGAATTTTCTTCAAACATTTAATTTAAGCTGATTTGCCTCATTCTGTTTATCTTTGCCTGTTTTGGATCACTTTATCTGTAAAACCTCTTCAGAGAAATTCCCGCAACAGCAGTAATACTTGGCTGGACTTGATTCTAGTTACATCAGATTCACATTTCAACCCTCCTTCTGGTCCACTCCAGCTAATCACAGTCCCTCCCCTTTGTTATAGATATAAACAGCTGCAAAATTAAATCAGGAGCTCCTGGACATCATAAAGGCTCCAGGAATGTCTCCAAACCAGTCTGGGGTCTGAGGGATGAGCAGCGGTAGCAGACAGCAGTTTGTGTGAGAAGGATGTAGAAGGATGAATGAACACGCCGCGCTGGTTCTGCAAAGCAGACGCCACTAACATCTACACACACAGGACGACGCGATCCAAAGTCGGGGCAGAGGCCCAGTCAGGAAAGTGAAACCACAGGAGAAAGCGTTTCAGCCCTGTTAGGTTCTGTCATGTGCTAAATGCCAGCCAATTAGACCAACCAACAATTACAGCTGAGTTCAAAATATTGGCGGTCCAACATCGCTAACCAGATCAATTACTATAATGGGGGGGGGATTAAATATCTACATAGCCCATGATTTACCAGTGTGTGCAGCAAAGTAATAGAAAACCTACACAACCAACAGTTATGACATGCTTGCTAGATATTTGGTGCAACTGACTCATTATTTTAACGGTTCCAAGTGAAAACAGAGTGGATTTCAATCCCTGAGCTCATTCATCCCGCGAACAAGCAGGAATCAAACATGTGGTCCTTATTTAAGGACAGAGGCAGGGAATGTGGTGCATGTGGGTTAAAATGCGTTTCCTTAATGTTCGAAACAGCAGCGCTCTTTGATTAAAAAGCCGATTGTAGAGGTAAAAAAAACAGAAGAGTGGAAATAAGTTGTTGCTTAAAAGCTTAGAGTTGAAGAAAAGCTAAATTTCCAATCGATCCAATAATACATCAGATAACAAAGACTGAGCTGATGAGTCCCCCCACGATAGAGAAGGTCTGCGTGACAGATACCTGTGAGGTTTTAATTTTATATCAGAATGCTGGAACTCGAGCAAAGTCCCATACTGGAACAAAACTCTGAATAAATCACTAAATCTGTTTTTTATAAGGTATGATAACTCCCAACAAAAATCTACATCTATAAAAAAAAATGTTTGGAATGTATAAATATAAGTTACGAATGTACAATTTTGCAGCGAAATGGCATTACAAATACAAAAAAGACATTTAGGAGTAACATCTACATAAAGCTCTAACACTCCCTACCAGTTGGTGGCAGTACTCTACCAAAAATTTGTTCACCGACCGCCTTTAAACGAGAAGATGAGGAGAACAAAAACAAGGTTAGATCTTTATTAAAATGTTGTTTTTAACCCGTGAACAGTATAATGTTTGATCCTTGGTCCTCTTTTTGTCGTCTTTCTCTTCTCCACGCTAGAAGGTGGTTGGCGAAATCTTCAGGTGCAATACCGCCACCAACTGGTAAGAAGTTGTATGTGATGAAGGGTTTGTACTGGACTGAAATCTCGAATACATTGTAAATTGTTGTTGACAATAAAGAAATTGATTAATACCTCAGTTACTGCTCAATTAAAGTGACTAGTTACTAAACAAAGTAAATATGCAGTTACAATTTATTATCTACAGTAGTAGCCATTCAAAATTTCCCCACTTTCCTTTATTGGCCCTTAGCTGGTTTTATTCAAACATCAATATTTGATGAATAGGACATTAAGATATAAAGAGAAGCCTCATCTCCTGGTCAGACCCTGTAATTCAGTGAAAGGGTGGAGTCAGAGTAAAAAAATATGCAAGAGGGGGCCTCTTCAGTGGCTGGAAGTTGGAGGGGATTTCACAGGGAGTTGGAGGGAAGTGATCTGCTATTCATCTGGTGTTTGACTGGGAAGGGCCAATTTGAACGGCTGCTACTGTCGTTTCTAATCATAAACATATGGTTAGTACCTTAGTGTTGTATTTTTGTGCATTTATAAAGTGTATTTATAATTTCTAACCTTGCATTCTTGCAGATTAAACACCCTGATGTTGCATGCACGTATGAAACTATAAGTAAATGCAAATCAAGACAACTTAGGATATTAACAGTTTTCTTACCACATATATTTCCTGCTCCACAGTGGATCGGAGAGTAATCTAAACCCTGAACTAAAGCCACAGTATATTGTGAAGCACGTTACCTCTGGCATCATGTTATGAGGATGTTTCTCCAACTGTTGACCTTAGAACAGTTCACTTTCCATTATGCCAAAGATGAAAATGACCTTCCAGACCAAATTGGCATTATGAGTCTACCAGCCCAGGACCCTGACCCAGTAGAAAGCCCAGAAGTTTTCATCAAACATGTCATCTCTGAGATAAAACCCTAAACTACAGGGGGACGATGGAGTCTTGTCCAATGGTCCTACACTAGGTGGCAGAACCCACTTGACTTTATTTAAAACAGATCTGAAACGGTTTCCAGAAGCAGTGCTTATGTAACTCCAGTAAATGTGAAGCATTACTGAGTCTCACAGCCCAGTTTTCTCCTTCCCTCACTTCCTCTAGACCAGGGGTCTTCAACGTTTTCCAGGCCAAGGACCCCCAAACTGATGGCAAGATGAAGCAGGGACCCCCTAATTACATATATATTGTATTAAATTGTGTTATATCAAACTGATCCTAGAGTCACTCTATTACAGTTGGAGTAATGTCAAGAAAGGAATTTCTCCCTGGGATTATTAAGGTATTTCTGATTCTGATTCCTGGTTGATGGGACAGGTGTTGTGAATGAAACGGTGCCCAGCTTGAAAGAGCTCCTGTGTGTCGCTGAATGTGTGTATCAATGAAAGAAACACATCTTTTGCCTCCATTTATCGGTTTACTACAGTGTGTGAGAATTCATGTTAATGTGTATTTAAAGACATTTCAATTAGTGGAAAAAATTGCAGGGGGAATATAAAAAAAGTATCATCAACCAAAACTTCCGTGACTCCCATGCAGTACATCCGTGGACTCCCTAGGGGTCTTGGACCCCCTGTTGAAGACCTCCGCTCTGCCGTAGACTAAGAGCTATAATGTCCTTTATCTTGGTGACTCAGAGCTCTGTGATATTATACCTGTTGTACGTCTTGCTGGAACACACACAGCTGCAGCCTCTGGTGAAGTCGGACCTTTCGATGCTGCCAAATGTTTTCCAGGCGCCGCTGATGGTGAAGGACCTCATGCACCACGTCAAGGATGCAATGAACCTGACAGGTTACACAAACAGCTTTAGATGGTACAGTCATTTGCTTAAAGGTCGCTTGCTAGTGACACTGACCGCTTTGGAGTAATTAGCCGTCGCCGTTAGGGAGTCAGAGTTGACTGGACTCAGAGGTCTCTGCAGGACATCCAGCAGCGCTTTCCCATCCTGACTCACCTGATGACAGAAAAAGGCTGAACATCAGGCGGAAAGGAAACCTTTCTTTCCTAAAACATGCTTTTATATTGATGAAAAAGGGCGAATCTGTTACTATAAGGCTCAGTAATGAGGGTGATGTTGATGAGGTGAGCATCTGTGTTTGACTCAGACTCTTATTTTAAAGTAAAATGTGAAAGATGTGATTGATTAGTTCTGCTGTGTTGACAGACTGGATGATTGAAAACTTTATCACATCAGCTTGGAGCTAGGAGCCTCCTCTACTTTAGCTTATGTTTGGTAGGTAAAATAAATAGTGAGAGAGAAGATTGGAGCGGAAAGAAAGCATTTTGTGGCTAACTATTAGCTGCTAACAGCACCACACTTTCTTGTCTGTTAAACTTAAGGGCTTTTAGATGTTTTTAAATGAGTCTGCACTACATTTGATCTATGATTGTTCAAAGCTGAGCTAACTTTCTACACTGAACAGGGGAGAGTAATGAAAGTAAACTAGTATTTTTTTAACATGTTTAAGTGAATATTCTCAAAGATGGGGTCTGGATGGGATTGCCAACCGTCCCTTGAAAACGAAATCGTTCCGTATTTAGAAATAGAAGTACCTGACCCATATTTAGTGCAAAGTACAACGGAGTATTAGGGCCAGGCTAGAGATTTTTTTTTTCTTCTATTTCGAGAATAAAATCGTAATGTTACGAGAATAAATTCGTAAATTACAAAAATAAAGTCATAAAATTACGAAAATAAAGTCGTAAATCTCTAGCCTGGCCCTAATACCCGTCGTAGAAAAGGGATGCACTTTGTCCCTCATTACTGTGAGAGTAAAAAGCTATTGGAAAATGAAGAACAAGGGCACGTTAGATACAAAACTTACGGTAAACTTGTTCTGCATTGTGACCAACGAGCTGACAGCATATATGTAACGATCCAGAATCCCCTCCTCCCATTGGTCGAGCCAAGTGTTGCTCAAGGAGAAGAAGCGGGAGACTACAGAGCAGTATGGGCGATGAATGGAGTAATTTAAATGCTGATGCTACTTTTGGGGGTGGTACACCTTCGCATAGCGATGCTCCTCCTCCAAAATAAAAAAAAAGGATGCAGAAATATAGGAAGGAATGAGAAAAACAAATACCTGGGTGGAAAAAGGTTGCAATAATGAATATAAAGCACACTGCACGGTGTGCCGGCTCACTTTTTCTGTAGCCCATGGTCACACTGTCAGATTTGAGACTACGCACACAAGGTGTCCCTTTTTTTTTCAGGGAGATGGCGACTCTAGGTCTGGGAAGCTACATTTGTCTGTGATCTTCCTTATTTGCTTTGCTCACATATCCTCCTTAACCAGCAGCTATAGATGCAAGGCTAGTTAAACCACAGTTTGGTATTGTGGAAAGGTTTAACTTGCTGGTCCGGTATAAAGAGTATGATTTTTTAAACCCTTAGCCTTTTTTTCCTAAAATCTCATCTCATCTGGTTCTGATTAACACAACATTATATACAGCTTCTTATCTTCAGCTGGATTTTCCTACATTCCTAGAAAACCTCACGAAGGTGGAAAATCTATAGAAACAAGCCAACAGGTACATTTGTAGCAATAAATTAATACCCTCGTAGAAGATGGAAGAGGTAATAGATTTAATCACAGAAAATTATAATCACTAGTTGGGCTTGTTTTTATTTGCTGCTTAGGAGTGAAAAGCAGAGAGGATGCTGGATGGTCAGTAGGTATAGTTACTGCTTTTTAATTTATGGAATGGCTGAGAAATGATAACTAATTATGAGCTGGAATGAAATCCAAAACATGATAATAAAAAAAAAAAACAAAAAAAAAAAACAATTTTTTGACTGAATTCATTCCTTTGGAAAAGTGCTGATTAAACAGGAACTGCTGCTCCTCTAAAGCCATTCCTCTTTCACGCGGTTTGGCTGCTGAAACATGACAGCTCCCAGTTTTGCAATTCAAGCTTTACTTTCTAACTCTGCAACTGCTGAAATTATGCAGATTAATTGATTATTTGAAAGACATACAGGTGCTGGTCATAAAATTAGAATATCATGAAAAAGTTGATTGATTTCAGTAATTCCATTTAAAAAGTGAAACTTGTATATTATATTCATACATTACATACAAACTCATATATTTCAGATGTTTATTTTGTTTAATTTTGATGATTACAAATGACAACAAATGAAAATCTCAAATTCATCATATCAGAAAATTAGAATATTGTGAAAAGGTTCAAAATTGATGGCCCCTGGTGCCACACTCTAATCAGCTAATTAACTCAAACCACCTGCAAAAGCCTTTAAATGGTCTTTCAGTCTAGTTCTATAGGCTACACAATCATGGGGAAGACTGCTGACTTGACAGTTGTCCAAAAGACGACCATCGACACCTTGCACAAGGAGGGCAAGACACAAAAGGTCATCGCTAAAGAGGCTGGCTGTTCACAGAGCTCAGTGTCCAAGCACATTAATAGAGAGGCGAAGGGAAGGAAAAGATGTGGTCGAAAAAAGTGTACAAGCAAGAGAGATAACCGCACCCTGGAGAGGATTGTGAAACAAAACCCATTCAAAAATGTGGGGGAGATTCACAAAGAGTGGACTGCAGCTGGAGTGAGTGCTTCAAGAACCACCACACACAGACGTATGAAAGACGTGGGTTTCTGCTGTCGCATTCCTTGTGTCAAGCCACTCTTGAACCACAGACAGCGTCAGAAGCGTCTTGCCTGGGCTAAAGAGAAACAGGACTGGACTGCTGGTGAGTGGTCCAAAGTCATGTTCTCTGATGAAAGTAAATTTTGCATTTCCTTTGGAAATCAAGGTCCCAGAGTCTGGAGGAAAAGAAGAGAGGCACTTCATCCACGTTGCTTGAAGTCCAGTGTAAAGTTTCCACAGTCAGTGATGGTTTGGGGTGCCATGTCATCTGCTGGTGTTGGTCCATTGGGTTTTCTGAGGTCCAGGGTCAACGCAGCCACATACCAGGAAGTTTTAGAGCACTTCATGCTTCCTGCAGCTGACCAACTTTTTGAATGGAATTACTGAAATCAATCAACTTTTTCATGATATTCTAATTTTATGACCAGCACCTGTAGTTAAATCATGTATTCTTAATAGTTGAAATATTTTCTCACGCCCTTTCATTGATAAAGTAGGGATCGTCTTTTTGATGTGTACACAGATTGACTTAAAAGAACACATTAGTCATTTTTTTTTACATTTTTTAGCTTATGTGGAGTTGCTATTGGTGTCTAAATTGAGCTGGATGCTGGTGGGTTCCATTTTTAATATAACGCTTCGATTACTTGTTAGATTGAACCCATTTAGGAAAATAGTCTATAGGTTTAAAGCACTTAACTATGGAGGAGTCAGTCTACTCATTAAACAATGCTTTAGTCGTAAAGTCAAATAAAAGGGTCGTTTAAATCTATTTCTCAGTAAAAACTTACAAAATGTTTAACGGCAAGTGAATCCACCTCAGATAGCTTAAACCTCACTAATAAAATTTAAAGTTTTAATAACAATAGAAGAGCACTGAAAGGTGACTTGATTTATTCTATTTTAGACTTTGCATCATATAAATAAAGAAAGGAATGAGAGCTAAGTTACGTTGAAAGTAAGAATTCAGTTGAAAGCTTTTAGGTGATGAAGACTAGGAATGCGTAATGAATTTGGTTACTGACCAAATTCTCCCAATAAAACCTAGTACAACAAGTAAAAACAAAGATGACATCATGACAAGCAATGGAGGAGCAGAGGATTTTCCATGCTGGACATGAAAACAGGATTGCATAAACAAGAGTGTAGTGATGTCAGAAGCTGCTGGGAAAGTAAACAAAGCAAGCAGGGCCAATAGAAAGCTCTCAAAGTATGGCTCTATTTTCCAGATGTTCTCTCGGTGCAATATTTGTGACATGAGGTGCAACATCAGCGGCGAAAATGCTTCTATTCTAAGCAAGAACAAGAGTGTCCTCAAGGTTGAAGAGGGGAATGTTTTTTACAGCAACAGATAGGGCTGCTGCTCCTGCATTCGGCATCATTAGCACGCCTGCTTCCATTAGCGCCAGAAACACGGTTTTCGTACATAGACCGATTCTTAACCTGTGAATCGCTGAATGGATCCTGTTACTGTTCAGGGAACAGATTTGAAACGCTGTTTGTTTCTGAACACTGCAAAAATGATCTAGAAATAAGTAAAAATTTCTTAAATTACGGTAAGTATATTTACCCTTGATTTTTTTATAGGTAAATTTGATAATTTGCCAATGGAATTAGTATTTTTACCCTTAAAATAAGATAATTTGATAATATGCACTTGGAATAAGACAATGCAATTGTGTTTTCTTATTTTAAATCTAAACTGTCTTGTTCCATTTGCAAAATATCTCTTTAATCTCCTCAATTTAAGAAGAAATGCACTTATTTTAAGAAAAAATGACTTATCTAGATTTTGATTTTTTCCAGTGAAGGACTTTTTGTTTGTTTCTCTGTCTAAATGCAGTCTAATTTTTATAACAACCACTGAAATAAAGTGCATGGAAACAAAACCTGAACGGTCTGACTGTGCAACAAGGTAGTGATAGTATATAAAAACTTTAGTGCAGTTTATTTTCTGGTAAGCAGCATCATGAAGGACTCGTAGAACCGTCAAGACAGGAAGATCGTGCCAAAGCGAACTGCCTCAGTCTGAACGGCTGCCTGGAGGTTTATGTCTGTTTATATATATGGACTTATCTTTTTATAGATAAGCATGAAAACCAGCAACAGCTTGTCTAAAGATAAAGCAACAGACAGCAGCATGGAGCGGGGAAGAGTGGGAGCACTCCAGGACTAAATTTAGTGGAGTGTTTGAAACGGGTGGAAGGGTCAGCGCAGCGGCTGAGCATCGCCACCCTGTTATCACAGTTTGCCGCTCTGACAGCACAGAACTATATTACTGCTCTCCATCAGCTAAAAATAGGACTATTTTGTAGAAAATGTGCAGCTTTAGAGTATTTTCATTGTGTTTAATCAGAGAACAAGATCTAGAAACAGCAGCTGGATTTCAAAATGTGGCTTTATTCAGAGATTTATGCTACAAACTTTAAAGAAAAAGGCTTTTCTGAAAAAACGACTTTCAAAGCTTTGCTGTTTGTTGCTCATAATCATTTTCTATGCTGTTGGTGGTGAGGAAGACTGACCTCGGTGTAGGCCTGGGTCACCTGCTCGTACAGGCTCTGATGGCGATGGATGGCGATTTCCAGCTCCTGCATCTCAGACGGTAACCCCCCCTCACTGCAGACTTTACACCAGGCTTCCACCTCTGACAAGAACTGAGGAACATGAGGAAAACATTGAATGATGTCAACGTTTGTTGAATCCAAGATAGATATTCACAAAAACAACTTCAGTCTGTTTCCCTCTTTGGTCGTCATTTTGTTGAACTGGCGTTTTGTTGAAGGTGAATTTACCAGAAGCATATTGAGTCGATTGGATGGTATGTAGAGATGAATAGGAAGGAAGGAAGGAAGGAAGGAAGGAAGGAAGGAAGGAAGGAAGGAAGGAAGGAAGGAAGGAAGGAAGGAAGGAAGGAAGGAACAAAAAAAGGAAGGAACAAAAAAAGGAAGGAAGGAAGGAACAAAAAAAGGAAGGAAGGAAGGAAGGATGAATGAACAGAGGAAAGCATAGAAGGAAGGAATAAACGAAGGAAGGAAGGAACCAATAAAGGAAGAAAGGAAGGAAGGAATGAATGAACAGAGGAAAGCATAGAAGGAAGGAATAAACGAAGAAAGGTAGGAACAAACAAAGGAACAAATAAAGGAAGGAAGGATGAATGAACGAAGGGAAGCATAGAAGGAAGGAAGGAAGGATGAATGAACAGAGGGAAGCATTGAAGGAATGAACGAACAAACGAATGAACAAAGGATGGAAGGAACAAAGGAAGGAAGGAAGGCAGGAACCAACAAAGGAAGGAAGGAAGGAAGGAAGGAAGGAAGGAAGGAAGGAAGGAAGGAAGGAAGGAAGGAAGGAAGGAAGGAAGGAAGGAAGGAAGGAAGGAAGGAAGGAAGGAAGGAAGATGAATGAACAAAGGAAGGATGAATGAACGGAGGGAAGAATAGAAGGAAGGAATGAATGAACAAAGGAAGGAATGAATGAACAAAGGAAGGAATGAATGAACAAAGGAAGGAAGGAATGAATGAACAAAGGAAGGAATGAATGAACAAAGGAAGGATGAATGAACGGAGGGAAGAATAGAAGGAAGGAATGAATGAACAAAGGAAGGAAGGAATGAATGAACAAAGGAAGGAAGGAATGAATGAACAAAGGAAGGATGAATGAACGGAGGGAAGAATAGAAGGAAGGAATGAATGAACAAAGGAAGGAAGGAATGAATGAACAAAGGAAGGAAGGAATGAATGAACAAAGGAAGGAAGGAATGAATGAACAAAGGAAGGAAGGAATGAATGAACAAAGGAAGGAAGGATGAATGAACAAAGGAAGGATGAATGAACGGAGGGAAGAATAGAAGGAAGGAATGAATGAACAAAGGAAGGAAGGAATGAATGAACAAAGGAAGGAAGGAATGAATGAACAAAGGAAGGATGAATGAACGGAGGGAAGAATAGAAGGAAGGAATGAATGAACAAAGGAAGGAAGGAATGAATGAACAAAGGAAGGAAGGAATGATTGAACAAAGGAAGGAAGGAATGAATGAACAAAGGAAGGAAGGAACAAAAAAGGAAGGAAGGATGAATGAACAGAGGGAAGCATAGAAGGAAGGAATAAACGAAGGAAGGAAGGAACCAAGGATGGAAGGAACCAATAAAGGAAGAAAGGAAGGAAGGAATGAAAGAAGAAAGGTAGGAACAAACAAAGGAACAAATAAAGGAAGGAAGGATTAATGAACGGAGGGAAGCATAGAAGGAATGAACGAACAAACGAATGAACAAAGGAAGGAAGGAAGGAAGGAAGGAAGGAAGGAAGGAAGGAAGGAAGGAAGGAAGGAAGGAAGGAAGGAAGGCAGGGAGGAAGATTAAACATCTTTACTGCTCTGACAATTCAGCACCCTGTTTTTTTCTCTTCAGTTTAGAGAACAGTAACTACAGGCCAAACCAGGATAATAAATCTCCTCTGATATCAACCCCTCCACCACCAACTACAAAGAATCATTTCTTTAATCAATCTGTTTTAAATTCTAATTCTTCTCTGTGACCGTCTGTTTTCTAACATATATCCTCTGTAGTCTAATCCTTTGGATGGCTCCTCCTCATTTATCTCTTTCCACTCAAATACACACTTGAATAAAATATCAAGGGCCCAGCAGGAATCAAACAGTCTCATCAGTTTCCATGTCAACCTCCCAGGAGTCAGCAGTGAAGCACTTTCATCCATCAAATAAAATCAGGCAGTAGAAAATGTCCCACTTTCATGTAACATTCTGGACACGCGATTCCAGCACAGGCTGAAGGAGAAGGAAGCTTTCTGTCCCTGGTGCCAGAAGCCAACAATTCTGATCTCACCTGCTCAGCCTTCTGGTGAAAGACAGAAGACATGGCGAGGATAGTAGAGCGTTCATCAAGTGCAGCGGCAAAACTTTTCCAGTCCTGATCCAGCTGAGTAGAGATCTGCTTGATTTGTGTGGACGCATAGTGGCCAGCCTCCGCTAGACGGCTCGCCACCGACATGATTCTGTTGATGTTTACGTAGGCGTTCTGATGGAGACATTTGAACCTTCTTAAGTTCGTCCTCTTCATACATTCATTGTAAAAACTTGCATATAATTCAGTGGCTGAAGTTTTGCTATTGCTCTCTTAAACAGTCTAAAGAGTGTGGAATTAGAAGGGAGGGGTAAGTTTTTACCATAGAGTTCATGGCGAAGTGGTTGTGTTGCGTTTGCAGCTCCACAGCATGTTGGTAACTGCGTCCGATCTCTGTGTGACTCTGCAAGAATAACTCTTTGTTGTGGCTAATCCAGTCGAACATCTGCAGAGACAAAGAGCGAGGTTAGTGCAGTTCAAACAGATTTGCCTGAAGTCAAAATATTTGGAAGTGAAGAAAGAAGATGAAGATCTCTGATGTCTACAGAAAGATAGAGAGGTTCTGCAGACAAGCTGAGGAAGTAACCGGAGAGGCGCTGAGGAAACAAGGAAGCAATATGGAAACACTAAAGGCCTGAACACATCGTTTGCGTACAACTTTTCAATCTCAGATCCAATTTTTTTCCATGTGACACTGAATGCATTTAGAGAGCCTCCGACTAGGTAGGGTGAGCATATGTGCAGTTTTTTTACTGCTGTCTCTGTACTATACACAAATTACAACAATTTCCCACATTGGACTGACCGATTATAAAAAGTTATTAAACATAAATAAAAAATAATAAACAAATGTTCATATGCCTAGAATTACTTCTAGAGAATAAAAAAGTTTCAGTTTTATTTCATAAAGAGGGGAAAGTGATAAGCTTATCTCACCTGCTCTGTCTGCTCCTCGTTATTTTTTTGTGACGATCAAAGAGGATCACTACTTCATCCATTTTCTGTCCTCTTGAATTGTTATGTTCCATTTATTGCTTCATTCATTGTTATTGGACAAGTCTGTCCCGTTACCATAGCGCAGTTACTATAGTTACTATTTACACAATGTGCGACTCCAAAACTGACTCTTTCCCCATGCGATTAACAGATTTTATTCAGTATTTCCCCCCTAAAGGAGATGTTTTTTACTTTGTAACCATGTCCCTCTTCCAGCTTTCGGCTGAATTGCTGCATAGTCCGAACTTAAATAGACCCGGGTTCTATCTCAGTCGGACCTACGCTGCCCACCTTGTCGGGTGTGAAGATCGCCATTGACTTTCAATTAGCTCTAAATGCCACAACCTTGTTTGAAGCGATTTTCTGTTGGATCAGGCACAAAATTGGATTCGGTGTGTTCTGGCCTTAAGAAGGAACCAGGGAAGGACTGGGGAAGCAATTAGGAAGAAATGAGAAGACAACTAAGGAAACACTGTGGGAATACTAAGGAAGACACTTAAGAAACACTGAAGATTCAACAGGAAGCATTTCAGAAACACAAAGGAAACACTGAAGGACTGAGGAAACAGTGATGGAGTACTAGGAATCACTAAAGAACGATAGGAAAAGCACTTTGAACACAGTGAGGAAGCATTGGAGAAACACTGAGACAGGGAAATGTTGAGGAAGCACTATGGAAGCACTGTAGATTAACAGGAAGGAAATGCAGAGGAAGAAAACTGGAAGGAATGGGGAAGCACTGAGGAAACACTATGGTAACAATAAGGAAGCAGTGCCTGACACTAAGGTAACAGTGGAGGAATAAGTTAAAAGGTATGGGAGAATTATTCGAGGTCCGATGATAGTTTATAGTTTATTTTGAAGCTATCATCTACATTTTATTCATAAAAAAGAAGAAAAAAACTCTGCAATGATCTTAAACATCAAAAGAGACACTGACTTAATATCTTTAAAGGACTTTGGAAAAAAAACAAGAAGTTGGAAGGTAAATGAAACTACAAGATGCTGCAGAAACACGTTAGAATCACTGAGGAGACAAGGAACGCACAAAACAAACGGGCTTTCAGAGAGAGCGATGCATGATGAAAGATTTCAGATTAATGATCATAACATGTAAAGCATTCCCAGGCGTTGCTCTGACTCATCTCTGGTCTGCAGGGCAGATGGTGGCTAAACTGTTGCAGTCAGAACAAGAGGAACAACGGAGAACTCGCAGCAGAAACCTCATTTCAATTACAGACGAGCGGCGCTATACGTCACTCTTTTCACACAGATGGGAAGATGGTTACCCTTCATTTTATTTGCCTCTGTTACCATGGCAACGGAGCAAACCGCCTCGTCAGGACTAAGCGCCACTACCCAGCTGGACTGGGGGAGGTGGTCCCACAGTGTAAACTGCCGCTAACGCCCCCGCAGACCCTCGGTGTGACAACTTGAAGGAAAATGGCTGTTTTTCCTTCCTGTTTGCTTTACAGTAAATATTTAGTGTGGCTGCATGTACACCAGGTCAGCTGACGCCTGGCTGTCTGTGGACATGTGTGCCTGACACACTCAGGACATAAACACACTCCTCTACATAAACTTTTCAGGGATTTCCATTATGTTATGTTGTCAGATCTCCAGGATCACCAGCAGGTTTGAGTAGATTCTGATTATTTCTTTTTGGCGCCGTCTTTGCTTTGCTTATTTTGAATCACTTGTCTCTTCAGTGGTTCTTTCTTCTTCATCTTTCAGAAAGATCAGAGATATAATTCCTAATCCACCAGGAATATTCCATAATGCAACTTAAAGCAAAGCGGTTCGATGACTGCCGACTCAGCAATGTGATCTTTTAAAGCTCAACATTTGTTTTTAATCGGGTTAAACTCTTGAGCAGAGATTTACTTTCTCAGCGTCCTGTTCAAAGAGTCGCAGCTGGAAGCACTGGTCCAGTTTAAGCTTCCTGACATGCCACATCTGATGGAGGTGCTGCCTGGTGGAGTGGAGCTTATCTAGCAGACTGGCAACCTGTCAAAACAAAAATATAGGTTTTAAAATTGTTTGCACCAAATATGCAACAATAAACCCAGCGAATAATCCATTCATTCATTCATTCATTCATTCATTCATTCATTCATTCATTCATTCATTCATTCATTCATACATTCATTCATTCCTTTTTTAAATTGACAATGAAAATACCCCATGACACAGCTGATGTTTCCTTTGTTTGACAAAATAGTATTGCAAAATTTAGAGCAGTTTTTACGACACTAGTGGCTTGTTTTTTTGACAGTAGAATGACAGGAAAGGGGGTACAGTGAACCCCCGCTATAACGCGGTTCACTTTTCACGGTCTCGCTGCTTCACGGATTTGCATCATGCATTGTTAAAACTTTATTCTCAAACATAATTGATGGTGGAATGTCGGTTTATAAGGATCTTTTGGCCCAGAAGAAAAAAAAGCGACAACAGCTATCGATAACTATGTTCTTCTCTCCAAAACACACACCTGCACTGCAGGCTTTAGAAGAAAAAAGCGCCACAGAGCAGAGTCAGGATGCAGCGGCTCCGTCAAACAGCAGTGAAATACTGTACTTAACATGTCAGTCACTATTTGTCCTAATGTACTTTGTATTTTTTTTCATAATAATTTTTCATTTTCTCCCGTTCCAATCCGTCACGGCGGGGCGGTGCTGATCTCCGCATTATTAACCCTTCATTTCGTATTGATCATTAAAATTATTACTTATTTATTTATAACTATATTATTTTACAGTACAGTACAGTAGTTATTTGTAAAAAAAAAAAAAAAAAAACAGACAACAACAACATTTATACCGTACTTTTATTTGTTAAACAAATGCTTGGGCCTGTAAAAAGTTTTTGTTCCTTGATTTCAATGTTTTATGGAGTATTTCATTGTATAATTGGTAAGAAATAGAGGTTTCTACTTCACGGATTTCACCTATCGCGGGTTCTTTTTGGAACGTAACCCCCGCGATAAACAAGGGTTCACTGTATGAGAGAGGGGGAGACACATGGCGCAAAGGACCACAGGTGGGATTGGAATCCAGGTCGGCCGCGTTGAGGACTAATGCCTCCTCACTTGGGTTGTGCACGCTAACCCATGTGCCATCAAAGCGACCCCATTAGAGAGCAGTTTGTCTTCAATTGATTCACCCCTCTAAATCTATTATGAAGAAAACAGATAAACAGTGAACACATCTATTTTATTCAAACTTTTTTTTTGGTATTTGAAGTTTCAGGAGGCACGAGCAGCAAGAATCAGAAAATGGTTCTAATAAAGAACCCTCAGTGGAAGCTTAAGAGGTTCTGCAGGTGTATACCATTTGGGAATTGAGAATTCATAGCAGCAGCCAGTATAGTTGCAAACTGCTAATAAATAAGAAGCCAAATAAATGGAAATGTTTCCCATGGGCTTTCTTAAACTGTTTCTAAACATGGAAAACATTAGTGTGTGATTAATTTAACCATAATTAGAACAGCTTTTAACACTGAACTACAACATTATCTTATATAAGCAACATAATGGGAAGGACTCTACAGGTTGAGAACAGTACTGCCACGCAAAAAAAAAGAAAAATATATTTTTTTTAAATGTTAAATTTCCAAATGGTGAGTTTCTATAATTGTTCTTCTGTGGACAATTTTACCACCAAGGCTGATACGGTAAATAAATTGTGCTTCAACACATTTCTCTTCCTCTTGTTTAATTTCTTTAAGCATCTGGAATACACTTTGATGCAGTCTATAAATGAAAAGCTAATTATTTTACAGGATAATAAACTTTGATCGTAAATAATCAGCCATTGCCAACTCTTTATTCTTTTTATGACTTTTTTCTTATTGAATTGACTTGATGTTGATTTAATTATGGAGGATGTAGGATATTAGAGTAGATAAAGTTGCTGAATAGCTGATTGCTGGTGTAATCCATCAGGCTTTTTAACATAAATCCTGAAGGTGAGATGATATAAGAGCCCAAAACAAAGAAATAATTCCCTCTTTGATTGTTTTAATTATTCAGCTCTATAAAAATACTGAATAAATCATTCACTGAATCCAGAAGATATCTGAAAGTCAGACTCTGACCTCATACAGGTAGTAATAGCTTCTACATACAGTATTTCTATTCAGTACACGTTCAGGAGGGGAAAGATTTCAAGGTGTCAAAGATAAACAGTGAGGGTAACTATGGTAGCTTTAACCACTATTAGATAGTGTGTAAAGTATAGCTATAAACATCATCAGATTGAAAAGCTGGAAAACTAAAGTGTCTTTAAACACATAAAAAAATTCCAAATCAGCTTTATATTCAGTTTTCCATTGATTTATGTTTTCTGTAAATGAATAAACATACTAAACAGCGGAGCGCCACAGTACATTGACGACATCATGGCGTCCATACTGAGGGGCTTCACTGTCCGTGGCTGCAGACAGATAACTGATCGTTAAATGAAATCCCTTTCCACAGGAATATATCTGCTGGTAGAGCGCCTGCTCGCTGGCGACACATTAAAACATTTTTTTCCCTAAAGATGATGCCGGATGGTTCCGCTCCACGCTGCTAATATGTTAATGTACCATTAGGAGTTTTAACCCATTCCATAACGTCCACCTTTCTTTGCATTTTGCTACATTTCAATTAGTCATTAGCATTCAAATGTTATATTAGATTTATTCTTTTATCCTTGGCATTTCATTGTATATTCTTCCTACAGCGTTTGCCTGATGTACGGAAAATCTGGCAAAAACACTGGCATACATTGGATAAGTTATGAGCTCGCTGAAGCACACTGCCGCATGTCGACACGGGGAAAGTATGTATGCTCAAAATTTCCTGAGGTATGCCAGCGTATGCTTATACTTGGGGCATAAGGTACGGGTAAGTTATCTTATCATTGACATATGTGTAAGTTACTAATTAGTCGTGGCGTCTAGCTTATCCAAAAACCTATGAGTAACTTATGCGTAACTTATCAAAAACGTGTTCCAGACGACCGCTAAACGCGTTTCTAACTTAGAGCTACTCTATAATGGCGTATTGGCAGCGTTTTGGTATAAAACTCTGCCAATACACAGTTATACAGGGGTTTACAGGAGGAAACTGTCTTTTTTATTTATCTTTTTTTTTTTTTGTTGAGCGGTAAACAGCAACTAGGTTGATACCGCGATCAAATACATCTTTTTATGCAGGCCGGGCGCCTCCGAGCACATTGCTCCCCCCTCAGAACACTGGCTTTTGACATTATGCTGCCGTGGGTTATGCATAAGTTAGGCTGTTGGTCATAAGTTCTGGACTTGATATGAATGCTCCATGTATACACCCAAAATAAAAATAACAATACATAGAAAGTTCAGCATATTCCAGCGTTTTAGAAGATTCTGGGAATGCAAGCATATGCCGGCTAAGTCGGCAAGGTGTGACGGGACCCTGACTTGATTCAGAAAAAGATTTGTTACATGACATCATCTGTTTCCCGGGACATTTAAATCTTTATTTTTTTTTTTCCCATAGCTTCATGAGCAGAGGGTGCAGTACATCTGCCTGTAGGGGATTTAAACCCAGCTCAGGGATTTTTGCTGGAGGAGGAGTCTTACCTTTGGCACCAGGCTCTGAAAGTCAGCAGAACCTGAGATGCAGTTCCTTCCAGAAAATCCATCACTGGATCGAATGCACTGAAGCAACCGCTGGCCCTCGCGGTCCAACTCCTCCACTGGAGCCTTTAGCACCTGTACGGGTGTTCAGGAGAACTTTAGTAAACATGTAGAATATTACTTTATCTTAGGTAGTACAGCTCTGTCACCTTTTTCTTCAGCTGTGTGTGCTCCTCTATTAACCGCCGGGATCCTTCTACATCCGCAGGAAAGTCCTTTTTGGACAAAAGCTCCTGTCAGACAAAAAAGACTTTTGTCATTTTGAAAAATAAGCTGCTTTTATTTATTTTATTTGTCTGAATTGTTAGCAGCGTACTTGTAGGTCCTCCAGTCTAGACAGCAGGTGAACAGCGTTGGACATGAACTCTTCTAACGACACCCTCAGCTCCATCCACTCCTCATGGTTGTAGTCCAGAGAGCCTTCAAAGTCTTCGGTTAGCTGTGAAGGGTCCACCAATTTGGCCAAACCTTCCACTGACACCATGCTGGTCTGCTCGTACAGGCAGGAGGACAAACATCAGGGACAAAACATCACTACATTCCACATACTGGAGCTAAAGGATGACCTTAAACTCTACCTCACTGAGGGGGAATGATCTGGTTTGGATGTGAAGGGGTGCATGCTCTATGCAAACAGTTAGGGTGTGTAAGGACCTGAACTGAATGGTTTGTGTACGACTTTCTAATCCCTGATACGATTATTTTTCCATGTCACACTGACTGTGTATAGAGAGAGGTAGGTTGGGCAGATCTGTGCAGATTCTGTTCACTTTGGTCTCTGTGCTATACACAAATTAAAACAGTTTCCCAGATTTGACTTGGACAGTTAGGATAAGTTATAAAAGATAAATATATAAATATAAAAAACACCAACGCGTTCTAGGGAGCAAAGCTCCACGTAACGAGCAGAGACGGCAAAAGTACTCACTTTCCGTACTTGAGTAAAAGTACAGACACTTGTGTTAAAAAATACTCTGGTAAAAGTGGAAGTACTGATTAAACTTCTTTACTCAAGTAAAAGTAACAAAGTACAGGCTTGTAAATTTACTTAAAGTATAAAAGTAAAAGTAGAAACCACTTTTTTCATACCGTTGCCTACATTTTAAATGGATGTCTGCCAATAGGACTAGATCTCCGTTGTGTTAATTTTCAATCATCTCGTCGTCCATACTACTATGCTAACGCCACCAAGCTGCAATGATTTGCCGCGAATGAATACCACCGAATCTGTCGATTCATCTTGTAGTGGTGCGTCAAATGCAACGTAGATTCCCATCCAATTAGATTGAATTTGGTATTGATGACGTGAAAAATAATAACGGTAACTCCATTGAAATGATTCAAAACTAAAGTAGCGAGCCAATTTTTTAAAATGTAAGGAGTAGAAAGTACAGATATTTGTGTAAAAATGTCAAGAGTAGAAGTAAAAAGTCGCCATAAAAATAAATAGTAAAGTAAAGTAAAAATATCAGAAAAATCTACTTGAGTACAGTAACGAAGTATTTGTACTTCGTTACTTCCCATCTCTGATAACGAGCCTGTTCAGCATCTAGAACCAGAACAGATAGAGAATGTTCATTTATTAAAAACATAATGAGATCTCCGTCTAAAGAAAAGAAAAACGCAGTAATAAACACTGTGGGACGGTTTCTATACTGACTGAGGCAGAGAGGTGATTCTCAGAGAGATCTGGGAAGTTTATCCAACATTTTCTTTCTTTTTTTATGAAGAGGTGAGAGAGCTAAGCCCAACAGCCCACGTTCCAAAGGGGTCTAAGCAAAAACAATGCTTTGTTGGGCTACTGTATAAAGCATCTAAACACTATTTCGGACATTTGAATTAGAAAAGCTTTGTCTTCAAACATCTTTGAACCTGGATCAAAGTCCAGTGGATTGTTTTTAAATTTTTTTGGAGGGTGATACGTCTTGCTTACCTGCTCTGTCTGCCCCTCCTTATTTAGTTTTTTTGTGAGGCTCAAAGAGGATCAATATTTTATCCGTATTCTGTCCTCCTGAACTCCTATCATGGGTAAAGTTTTCTTTTTTAATGTTTCATTTCTTGTTTTTACATCAGTCTTTGCTGCTTTCTATATACCCATGTGATGAACAGATTTTATTTTGAATTTTCCCCCAAAGCTGATGTGTTTTATTTTATAATCGTGTCTCTCTTCCTGTCAGACCCATGAAACTTCTGCTAAATTGCTGCGTAGTCTGACTAAAATAGACCTGGGGTCTATCTCAGTCAGACCTACGCAGCCACCTTAGGTAAACTCGTGTCGGATGTGATCATCCCCATTGACTTTCCATGAGCGCTAAATGCCACAACCTCGACCGACACGATTTTCTGTCGGATCGAACACAAAATGAGGTTCAGTGTGTTCTGGCCTTAATTTACTGAATCTAGAAATCCGTGTCAGAGGTTTGAGGTGTGGTTTGACAATCATTAAATATCCCCTGTGACATCAGAGTAGGATGTAAACATAGAGGCATTGGTATCTTCCACAGCGAGTCGGAACAAACTCTTGTATTCGCTGATCTGCAGCATCAGGCTTCTGTGAGACCTTTGCATACAACAACAGTCCACCTTAACCCGACTCTTCCAACCACTGGTAAGCTGCCCAATGGGTCTGCAAGGCATCCTTTCATCTTGATAAACTGTATTATATGTTGGTTGCTATGGTTACTGCCTGCAGCAAATAACAGTGAATCCTTTTCCTGTGATAGTGTAAGAGAAAACTTGTTCTTTTTTTTTATCATTCTCGCTTAAGGTTTCAACCCAAATCAAGGTTCAATTGACAGGATTTTTTGTATCCAAACCACTTTTACTGTAACCAAAATGAGGGCATGTAAAACCAGGGTGTCTGTGTTAATGCATACTAACAGCTAATCCATCTAACCTCAAAGGAGAACTTTGCACTGCCGAAGTTGGTCTTCTGCTTCTGCCAGAAGTTGTCTGGTTTTATGATGAGAGCCACACAGATTTCTGCTGGGAAATACTCCTGCAGAGTCTTTAGCAGAGGCTTGATCAGCTCCCACTTTGATCCACGCATGTCGATGATGACGGTGAATCCTCGTTTACAGACATCTTCGCTGATGGGAGAAAGAGAACCAACATGCAGGTAAGAGAGGACCACAGGGTGATCAACCAAGCAGGAGAGGATATTCTGCAATAGATGGATGACCTGATAGGCAGCATCAGACTAGAGCAGCTTTGACCAAAACAGGACGTATTTTCTTTGTTTTATTTAACGTTTCACTTTCATCAGAAGGCTTCTGACCCTGAAATCCCATAGCCCTCCAGACCGCCTGCTCAAAGCAAAGCCTCCTGCCTCCGCTGCTCCTCCAGTCTTTCTACGCTTCGACTTCCTCAGAGCTCAAGGAGAGCATGCGCTATTTTATTATTAAATTCATAGGAGCAAAATATGCGGAAATTTATTTAATTTAATAAAAATAATCCCCAACAACATCCAGCATGTGTGCAGTTTCTGCCAAATTATTTTCCTTTTTGTTGTGGATTTTTCTAACAGGGATAACTAGGATCACACAAAATTTGTTTTTTATGAGTTATGCTTGTTTCTATCTCCAAACTTGGCATCTCTTCATCCCTGCCTGTGATAAGAAGTTTGTTTTGAAGTTGTGAGATGAGCTTTTGAAGATGTTGTGACTGTATTTGATTAAACTTTTAAGCCTCTCAGTATAAGATAAACATTTTGTTTGAGATAAGAAATCTGCTTCCTGTTATGTCGAAGTACCGATAGTTTGCATCCAGTTATTTAAATAAACCGTCTTAGTTTTTTAACCTGACTCCGCCAGATGTATTTGCTGGATTTGCTCCGCATATCCATCTGGAAACCTTCCGTTGAAGTAATTTTGGGAAAGGGCGAAAATACTGGTTAGCTGATTGGCCTACGTTAGTGATAGACGGGCCAAATAAACCAATCAGATCAACGAAGTATATGACGTACTAACAGAGCTACGACGAAAACACAACCACAAGCCAGGCACAAGCCAATTGATAGATCAAACTCTTGCCGAAACCAGTCGGGAGAAGAGCAAAGACATCTTTTCCTCTGAGAAAAGCCTCCAGAGCAGTGTTTTGCTCTTCTTTCAGTGAAGAAATACTCTGTAATTCCGATAAAACTTGCTCGATAGCCACGCTAACGCTAGTTTCATCGGCTGAAGCCGCCATGTTCTTTAGACTGAACTGTCGCGCTTCTCGTTGCATCACACCTCAACCCGCCTCAAAGCCAACGCTGATTGGACGTTCATTTGGTGAAGGGCTCCAAATTTTCTGTTACGGAAAGTAGCCAGACTGATCTGCGAGTGAAACCTTGAAAGCTCGCGAGATCAGGATGGTCTCACGAGGCTACTAGTTTTCAGGAATATATATGAATTGTGCTCTAATTTGTAGTTAACAATCCATCGTTACTATATTTAATTTGACAAACCGGATCTTCTCGCTGTTCAATTTCCTGTTTGGTTCCGATTTGCATTTGCAGATTTTGACCTGGCCGGACCGGAGCGGAGAAGACGTACGTGGACGGTGACGTTCGCAGGAGTGGCGGTGGAAGTGGAACCTGGGGGCCAGAGGCTAAAACAAACAGCAGGGTTAAGATCAGAAAACTCTCTGACCGTCCTCAGATGTTTAAGCTCATGGATGCTAACAGACATGGAGACATGTTCAGCATTCCAGGTAAAGATGTGCAACATGCATTGAAATAATACATTTTATGTTTTTCGCAATGAAACTACTTAAAAATGTAACCTTTTATCTAATTGTGTTTATTCTGTGTAAAGAAAAAAAGTAAGAAAATTTTGGTTTTAACAAATGGTTTAGTGCAGAGTTATACACATCCTGCTGCGATTAATATGCCCTCTTTTGTTTTACCAGAAGTCATGAAACAAAAAGATGTAGGTCTATATATTGAGGTGTTCATGGAAAAATGTATTTTTTGCCTTCTTGTTTTGGTCTCGCCACTGATTTCCACATTTCTGACAGACGCCAGAAGATTCTAATAAGATCAAATCTGCTGAGATGTCCATGAATTTCACACTGCACATTAACAAAGCTCCACTGAAAGCACTGGCATCACAGGTCCTCTGCTATTCTTTCAAATATGGATGAAACACTTTCCTTGATTTACATCCAATATATTCAAAGAGTTTGTTTGTGTTTAAGTGGGGAGAAACTGTCTCTCTTTTCAGTCAGAAACACATAATGATGAATCAGCTTACTTTTCTGTGGTTTCAGCTGATTAACAGTAGATAAATGTCTTTCTTTGCTGTCAGTTTTCCATGTGGCATTTAACAAAAGGTTTCTAAAATGTTTCTCTCTGTAATTAGAGTAAGGAGACAAAAGCTAAAGATGCAGAAGAAAATTGGAACCAGCAAAACAAAAACCCACAATGACACGCTACTCATTAGAAAGCACTAAGTGACAAGTTTGACTGACGAGCTGACGAGGATGATTCATCCACGGATGAATAAAAGGCTTTTCCCAGCAGAGCAGCTCTGCAGAAATGAAGGCTGAACATGTTGAAGTAGAGGAGGACTTAAAAATGAAAAATGTTCACGATTCAAAGTGATGGTTGGAAAGCTGAGCTTTCAGTAAACCAGTTTAAACCAGCACTGATTTCCTCCAGCAGCTGATCGTTTATGGTGAGCTTTGTTTTCATCGAGCCGCTCTACAGGAATCACCTTCTTTTCTGCCTCTAAAACTAAGCGCGACCTTTGCTCAAAAGGGAAGCTGTTCCAGTCTCAGCTAAGTCCCAGTCTGAACTACAGGGTATATGTGTAATAAAAATATGCTTACACCTCTATTACTAAGGATGCTGGTGAAGATTCTCAGTCATCCAGCTCATAGTCATTCCAAAAAATTAATAAAAAAACTATCAACTGGACTTTGATTTCAAGTTTGTGGACATTTCACTTCCCATCCAGGAAGCTTTTTAAATTTAAAATGTCAGAAGTAGCGTTGAGTTTGAGGCTTTATACAGCAGGGAGCAGAAGACCTTGGCTATTCAGCCAGGCCAACAATTCCCTTTAACGACACCCCTTTCACAGACATAGGTATGGGGGTATTGCATGCTAACAAAAGAAGCCAAACGACCACCATTCCAAAGGGGAGGACCCGTTCGTCCGTTTCAATTTTCTAAACAAAACCCAGGCTTTGTCGGGCTACTGTATAAAACCTCAAACTCAACTCTATTTCTCACATTTTGAATTAAAAAGGCTTCCTGGATGAGAAGCGAAACGTCTTCAAACTTGGAAGCAAAGTCCAGTGGATTGTTTTTTTTGTTTTTTTTGTTTTTTACTTTTTTGGTATAACTAAGGATCTAATAAAATGTGCTGTTATCTCATTTATTTGTTGGGAGTGTGAATTAAACATGATCAATTTAAAAACACAGATGCAGTGTGAGACCACATAGAGTTTGGCTGATGAAATCACTAAATTGTTTCAATCTGAGTTAGACTGTGCAATAAAAAATAAATCCTGACAACAGTATGTCTTTTATAACTGATATATAAGCTTTGGACAAAACCCTGACCAAAATCAGAAACTTACTCCTGATTTAAGGGTTTGGAGATTTTTAGCTTCAAATGAAAACTAAAACTAAAAAAGGCAAAGCAGTTTAAAGGAAGTGCAGCAAAGGGTTTCTACAGTATTTTTTATTTGAAACATTTTAAATTGAAAAGGCAAACAGAGCTGACTGGGCCTCTTAAGGAAGCTCAGTTCCTCCAGCATTTGAAGCAACATGCTACGGTTCTTCTATGTCTCTTGTGTGGAGTGTGATCTCTTCCTCTAACATATTCTAGACCAGGGGTCTTCAACGTTTTCCAGGCCAAGGACCCCAAACTGATGGCGAGATGGAGCGAGGACCCCTAATTATATATATTGTATGAATGTCAAATAAGTATCAAACTGGTCCTATAGTCACTCTATTACATATGGAGTAATGTAATGAAAGTAATTTCGCCCTGGGATTATTAAAGTATTTCTGATTCTGATTCCTCAATATGAAGGGACAAGTGTTGTGAATGAAACGGTGTCCAGCTTGAAAGAGCTCCTGTGTGTAGCTGAATGTGTGCATTGATGACTGAAAGACATCATCTGCCTCCATTTATCTGTTTACTACAGTGTGTTGAATTCATGTTAATGTGTATTCAAAGACATTTCAATTAGTGGAAATAATTCCAAGGGGGAATGCAAAAAAACAGTCTAATCAACCAAAACTTTCGCCACCCCCATGCAGTACCTCTGTGGACCCCCTAGGGGTCGAGGAACCCCGTTGAAGACCTCCTTTCTAGAGTAACAGCATCAGAGCAAATGACTTTAAAAAAGCTCAACATGCTAATAAAGAAAGTCGGCAGGAGGTGCCCTGTCTTGTTCCTCCCTGCACACCTGCAGCTCATTGGATCATTATCTGGAGGAGTATTTGAGCAGTGGGCTGTCACTACCTCGACACCATAGTTTTTGCCAGTTTTGGGTACGCTAGCCAAGCTGAGATTAGCTGAGTGTAACCTAGCTTTGTTTCTCTGAATCTAACGTGTTTTTGTCTTTGCTCCTCGGAAGGAAGCTTTACTGTGTTACAGGATACCTGGACGTTCTCTACCCTGGAAGGAAAAACCGAGTTACACTGAGCGGGGGAAAACCTCTATATGTTTCGTTCAAGTACCCATCAGAGATCCGAGTGACAGTCCACCCCATTACTCCTCTGGGTCCAATGCTTGTCAACCTGTCCGCTGTCCAGCGTGTGCACCTTTCTCTGGATTTACCACACAGTCTGGATTCAAGGATTAACAAGGCCCCCCTCAAACGTGAGTTCCCAACCTTGCAAAATCTCAGAGCTTCCAAGATTCCCACAGTACCTGAACTGACCACTGAACTTCCATTCTCACTTCCAGTTCCGGGTCACCAGCTCACTGAGTTCCAGATCCAACTTCTGTTAACTCCTTCGATAAACCTGTTAAACCTTTTCCGTGCTCTCTGAGTGGTTACTCTGCATGTGGGTCAGATTTGTTAAAGCGATCATGACAGCTTGTTGAAAATGCTTGTTCAAAAGCATTAATTCTGACTTTGTGTCTTGTCTGAAAATCAACAAAGAATCTAAGAGGTTTCCAGTATGCAGCTATTTATTTCACAGTCACACTGGTCCCATTTTTGGTTAAAGATTTAAACGATTTCAATTCCCTGAATCGGATCGTGTCGTTCTAAATGAACCAAAATCTCCCATGAATCGAATTGGAAATGATGAATCGTTGCACAGCTGTGAACAGAGGGGTTTATGGGATGATGTCTTTCACAGCTAGACTCACTTTATGCTGCAAAATTCCAGAAAATTCCCAAAAAAAAAAAAAAAAAAAAAAAACTTCATGTCACATTTCCATTTGCATGTGTTCTTTTTTTTTTTTTTTTACTTTTTAAAGTTTCCTCTTAGGATCTTTTTTGGTAAATAAGTTATTATCTGAGATTTTTAAAGCCAGTGTTCTGTCAGTTGAGCATACCCGGTCAGACCAGCATACCCATAGTCAATACCCGTTTATCCCTTTAGTTTTCTATGAAAAATAGACTTTAAACTACCTCAATGGGTTAGTATCCCTTTAGTCGCACAAAAAACAATTTAATTACTTACTTGACTAAAGGGATACATGCCCCTCAAGGTAGTTTTAAGTCTTTTTTTTTTCATACAAAACTAAAGGGATAATTGCAAATCTGACGTCTTGTGTATTGACTACAGGTATGCTGGTCTGACATGGTATCCTAATCTGACTGAACACCAGTGTCTCGCCAAATTTAATAATGATTACAACAAAGACTTTTGATCCTTAATTCTTGAAATATACATTTCAATCTCAAAGACTTTTATCATTCTCCTTTAAGAAAACAATAAATACACTTTGTATTTTTTTTATTTTAGGGCGATTTGTGTCCCCCTAAATTTCATCTACAGGTCTTTAAAGTTGTTCTTTAAAAGAAGCAAACATAATTACCTCCACCTTCAACTCCATGCAGCCTTAATGAAGTAACAGCATCAAAATATATTATAATGTGTTTCAAGGAGAAATTAACCCTTCCCATCACCATGGAAACAGGGCGATTAGGAGGAGGGTTTGACAAAGAGGGATTGACAGGCATCAGATGATGTTGAGTCACCCTGTTTAAGGGCGAAAGGCGTTAGAGAAAGAGCGACTAAAATCAGAGCCTGCTTGGGCACTGAGGAACATCCTGACTTTTTAACATACGGTAATTTTTCCTCCTAATCACGGAACATCCCTTTGTGATCTGCTAGAAAGCATCATTAAGGAGCTTCCCAGATGAATGCGACTAAAGATGAAAGTTAAAGCAAAACTAAAGCTGAATAAATTACTGTAAAACCAACGTTTGGTAAAAGCCCAGAACATTCAGAGAGTTTTGTCCTGCTAGATCTAAGAAATTTTAAAGGCACACTATGCAACATTTTTCAGTTAATTAATTTGTTCCATAAAGTTTTGGATGATTAAATGAGTCATTTCAGGTTGAACAAAGGTATTCTCGGCCGCCCTGGTGGTCTGTGGGGGAAATACAGCACTTGCAATTGCAGGAGCCCTCGGCCCGCACCCACAGGCTCAGAAGTCTCGCGAGAGTCAGTCTTGCTTTACGGCGAGAACTGCTACACGCCCCCAGTTAAAAGCATGCTCGTTGCTAGCACAGCGGCGATATTTCTGCAGTTATAATGGCGGAACCAGCGTGGAAACAGCGAAAGCCCATGTCGGAGCAGGCAAGAAAGAGGAAAAGGGCTCTGGACAGAGAGAGGAGTCGTACACGGGTGAACCTCGGGCAAGCTTTTTCCGAATGGCGAGAGCTAAAATAAAAAGAAGGCTGCAAGGCTGACGCGGACCTCGCGTTTCTGCTGATGCGATTGTAAGTAACATTGGAATGGTTTCTCTCTCTCTGTGTGCATGTTCATACTTTCACTGTGTTAGTCATTCGTTGCGTTCGCCTGTCTGCTAAGCTCAAAACAACCATGCCTGGCTTGACGGAGAAAGGAGCACAGCTGAGCATATGTACGACAGTGCACTTTTACTTTCGCCCTCTGGGGGGAGCCTCGCTGGAAAATCAACACCGGTTGCATAGTATACCTTTAACAATGAAAGGTATTGTGGGGGATTTTCAAAATTTTTTTAAAGACCCACCCTCTTCACTTAAAAAAAAATGCACATACACAACCCTGCACTACCTAACGAGAGGGAACGCCTATTAAATGCGTGCGAGAGCGTGCATGAACCCATTTCTCCTCGCTCACTCTCTGTTTAAAAGTTGCTGTTCTCATAGCTCATAAAAGCTTGCTGTGTCTGAACGTCCACCCTAACCCCTAAATCACTTAATCCCTATAAAGTGGACTTTATAGTGAACTCAGTTAACTGACCATTCAGATGATCACTTCTTTTTGCTTCTGTTGGTCAGGTAACTCCTTCTCCACCACGCGGTGCCTGCGCCATCTTTGTTATTAGTCGCCGCTGACGGGTAGCGGCAGCCTATAGCGACAGCTGGCCGCTCTGACAGCACAGACACTTTTTCTCTTAAGACCCTCTGCCATTTTCAAAGAACCACAGTGAGAAAGGTGAGCTTCGATGACTGAATGAAACCGCAGCTCACCACAGATATACGCCTGAAAGTGCGCAAGCGCAGAAAAACATAGCTAACGGGACAAACTTGTAGGATGGCCTTACGTAAACATATCACCAGAATGATTGACAATTAAGAGGACCACTTATTGAGATGATCCACCTGGAAATACAAGCTTCTCCTCTATAACTTTAACTGTATTTGTTCACATGCAACACTAAAACAACATCAAACTACTCAGACCTGGTTTTATCTAATATAACCTTAACTTCCAGTTTGGTATACCCTGAATATAACATCCAATATAAACTCAAACGGAGCAAATCTCTTCCTGCTTTTCCTGCAGTGGGATCATTGCCTCAGATGATCAGAATCTCTTTTTATCATCTGTTTTCATGCTGCTGGTACAAGTCAAAGAACGAGGAAAGGAATCAGGTCTAAAGCCAAACTGGGTTCAGATCAGACAGAGCCCGGCTTCAAAGCGCTTCTTTGACCGTTTTAGTTCAGCTTCGTCTACACCTTCTGTTTCCTCAAAGAAGCCTCAGACAGCGCTGGACCTAAACAGTGTGGCTTTCATTAAGATGCAAATTAAATGCTGCCCCCTGTCTGCCACACTGACGGCCAAGAAAGGGGTACTTGATTCTACAGCCAGGAAAGCCCTCAGTTCGCTCTTCACCCTCCACTTCTCTCTAGTCTCACTAAAGCTGCAGGAATAAAACATAGACTCATGGTGAGAGGATGTGACTGCGAGGCTGAGGGCACCTGGGGACCGTCGACAGGTAGGTGACCAGCCTCCTCAGGTCCTCCTGCTTTATTCGGTCATGGTTGCTCCTGGCAGGAAATGTCAGGATGGGTCCTCCTCTTTTGTCTCGTCCACCTGAGAAAATTTAAAAACAGGTGTGATTTTCAGTGTCAGACAGACAGACAGACAGACAGACAGTCTGCTTCTCTCCATCATTACTTAAAACATGCAGTAAAAGTCACAACAAATAAACACGTTCAATATCCTCCATATCCTTTTTTGGTTTCTGGGACTTTGCAGGATACCCACTTACATAAGTAACTGTTTACATATGCAGCAGAATAAAGTTCATACATTTGACTTTAAAATGTGAAAATAATTGTTACCAAATGAGGTTTACTTTAGGATTTAACCAAAATCATATCAAGAAAGACATTAGTCCTGCATTTTAGGGCTGCAACTAATTGTTATTCTGCCAATTGGTTCCTTAACCCCTAGAACCCTACGGACCCACTGGCGGGTCCAGCTGCTACATGACCTCGTAATTTTAACAAACCCCCAGTATTGATGTAAAAAAACACATTTGGCACAGTTTGGTGACATTTTTTGATAAATGTGCCAAAATGGCCCCTCCGCCTAAGAAATTTCTCACTAATACCATTCTAAAATAAATATGATTCATCTGATTGAGTCCAAATTTGGTATATTTTTACACAACATTTAGATTTAAAAGTCTGTACTACTTTTTTGTGCTATAAATAATATTTTGGTAGTGTTTTGCAATGTTTATTTCAAAGAAAATTTTGGCGAGATTCAAAAAATGCAAAATATTTTGTATTTTGTCCCTAATATTTCAGGCAGGGTCAAAGCTACAATGGTGCTGACACCAGAAAACCATTCATGACATCTTACCTTTACAGAGGTACCAAAAGTTTCTTCTTAAATCTAATAGCTGTGAGGCTATAAGTGATTTACTTTTGTGTGTTTTTGTCAGGCAGAAATTTATTTATACACCCTTAGGGTGTAAGAGGTTAAAGAAGATATTTTAAGAAATTTGACCAGGTCAAAATAAAACTTTTCCACTTGATGAGTTCTCGATAGAGAATATTGATAGACGAAAAAGTAAATTTTTTTTACCTTAATTTCAAAATGTTTATCTATCTTTTTTACAAGCTTGGTTAATTACTGCTCTAAGTGCGTTGCTCTGTCAGCTAAAGGCATGTTTTACAGTCTTAAAAATTAATCGATTACTTAATTAGTTAATAATCAATTAATCTGATTCATTGTTTCAGTCCCTTTGCATTTTGAACAAGGATATTGCACAGGAATAAGCTTATTGAGATGTTTAGACAATCATAAGCTCCGCCCCCCGCTGCCTGTTTTCAGTCTGCTTTGTGTGAATTCATGTCACCACTGCCTCTGTCAGCCCTACAGCCTTGGTTTGCTTCTGTTTTTTTTATTTAACCGTTCTTGTTTTTGGTTAATTTATTTTTATGGAACACCTGGTAAGAAATTCAGTATGCTGACAGGAGAGATTTGAGAAGGTTGCAATTACAATTGTATCAATTATATGGGGCTGGTTACGTTTAAACTCTTTACAGTGTACTCAGATGTCGTTTCATTTAATCTGAGAGTATAATTTACAATAATAAACAATAAACTATGGTATTTTTTCTTTTTTTGTGGGCTTTTTTCTCTTGCTGCTAATATACTTGAATTTCCCCATCGGAAGATAAAAAATTATTCTGTTCTTTTCTCTTTTTTACAGGTGCCATTTTAAGTCCTTGTTATACTGGTGATAAAAAAGTTGTTATTCCAAGATTTAATCCTGATGTTACAGTGAGGAGGACATGGAATCCATTAAAAACTTCACAATGTGACTCCCCTCACAGCTATAGGTCAGACTCTCCAGCTTTCTCCATAACCCTCCAAAAAGCAAACTCTCTTGAGTCCTTCTGATAAACGATGTGCGCTGTGATGGTTTGCTCAGATTAACGGAAGAAACAGAAACCGCAGTGTTTGTCTAAGTGCTACTCAATCATAACAAAGAGAGAGAGAGAGACAGGCACAGAGAGAGAAAAGAGAGTGTTGGAAGAGAAAGTGTTGCAGTAATCTAGGGAGGAATCTTGATGACGGATACTTGTTGGCATGTAGCCTCTGACATTTTATCTCCTGTTATTTCCTTCTGCGTCCTGCAGTCTGTCTGATTCAGTCTTTTGTTTCAGTGATTACTACAACTCAGCGGGAACAGCACTCATTAGGCAGAGCAACTACTGTAATAAAAGCCTTATGAAGGGTTTATAAATATACATTATTGGTCAGGATCTCATAAGGACCTGTAAGAATGAAAATAAACCTCACTCTTATGATAATAAGAAAATATACACATCTTAAAGCCACAGTGTTTAGAGGTTTTGGACAGTTTAGTGTTTGATATTTTTAACAATATTTAGCAGATTTATTTTAATAGCAAATAATATATGAGCAAAACTAACAATTTATTCTTTACTTCACCAGTCCTTAAGGTCATCTGATGTTTCCATCAAAAAACATCCATCATCCATCCCTTCGTCCAACCATCTATCATCCATCCATCATCCATCCAACCATTCATCCATCTATCCAACCATCCATCCATCCATCCATCCATCTTCCTTCCATCCATCAATCCATCCATCATCCATACATTTATCCATCCATCCATCCTCCATCCATCCATCCATCATCCATCCATCCATCCATCTTCCTTCCATCCATCCATCAATCCATCCATCCATCCATCCATCATCCATCCATCCATTCATCCATTCATCCATCCATCATCCATCCATCATCCTTCCATCCATCCATCATCTATCCATCCATCCATCCAACCATCCATCCATCCATCTTCCTTCCATCATCCATCCAACCATCCATCCATCATCCATCCATCATCCATCCATCATCCTTCCATCCATCCATCCATCCATCCATCATCCATCCATCCATCCATCCATCCATATTCCTTCCATCCATCAATCCATCCATCATCCATCCATCCATCCATCATCCTTCCTTCCTTCCATCCATCCATCCATCCATCCATCCATTCACACCATAGAACATTTCCTAATCAAGTTGACTAGCATGTATGTGAGGAGGCGAAGGATCATCTCTATGCGTGAATATTACCCCTGTTCTCAGTCCTCATTACCTGCCTGCCCGCTCTCCAGCTCGATGCCTCTGGCAAATACCAACGTTCTTAGATCTCACTCATCTTCTCCTGGACCTCTGATGTACAGTCTGCAAAGCCTGTTTGAATTAAACCCCTACAGATCCATGCTACCTCCCCTTCATCTCTCAAGTAAGCCAATCAATCAGGCAACAGTTATCATCAACCAACTCCTTCCTGATCAGTCTGCTTTCTCCCCTCAGAAGAAAGCAGAGTGTTGAACTGACTAACTGCAGTTTGCTGTTTCCAGATTCTTGTTGCTTTTTGTAAATAAAACATTAAAGTTACCTGGTTCCCTCTGTAAAAAGACTACAAACCAACATGACACCCACAGTCTGAAAACAGGACCGTTAGGTTAATTGGTGTCTCTAAATTGCCTTTAGGTATGTATGGTTGTCTGTCTCTCCCCCATAGACTGGTGACCTGTCCAGGTTCTACCCCACCGATAGGCTAATAGAGATAAGCACCAGCCTCCCCTTTATGGTTTTATTAACTACCAGAAGTAAACAGATGGTGATTGATGAACTTTAATGATTTCTTCAGATACTTTCATGTCCTTTGGTCAAATCAAAGCCCTCCAAAACTATTTCCTCATGTGAACACTGTCGGGACTTCCCAGTGCTTATTTTGCCATGACATCTTATTTTCTATGTGGAAATGTTTTACAGGGAGTGTGACAGCCTGTGGATTGGGAAAGTTCATGTGTCTGCTTGTGTTGGCACGCAGTGAGAGCAGCAGGAGGACAGAAGGGAGAAGAACCCATAAATAAAGGTGCCTGATCAGGAGTGAATCTAATTTGGACCCGGAGAAATCTCTTCACAGACACCCTGAATCTAAGGCCATGTATGCTAAAAAACATGGTATGATAGAGCATGCAATACTTTATAAGATCAATATTTTGGGATTTCAAAGCAGGCTTATTAAAATGTCATAATTTAGAGCAGATGAGAAAATAGGCACAGATTAGTTTGAATATTCATGAGCTGTAGAGAGATTTACTTTCCGTCCTTGCTGGAAGGTTTAATCATTGACTTTCATCACTGACAGACACTCACCCGACACGAAGGCGACTTTCTCCTTCAGCACAGGCAAAACATCAGACGCCTTAATGCCTTCGGTCCTGAGGGAGCCTGGAGAGAGACAAGAGAGAGAACCTCTGAGCATTAATCCCATTATCAGATCAACATTCCTGTGTGAGAGCAAACATACTCTCATTCAACCCTTCCTTCTTCTCTATGTCAGTATTAAACACCATTTTGTTTGGAAAAGTTATTCGAAAGTATAAATATTAGAATAAAGGTGTAAGTGCTGTATAGTCATCCTTCCAACAGGATCATGACAGAACAAATTTGTTCTCCCTTCATCTTTTTGTCCATTTTCCTCTCAAGGAATCTGGTCACCCGTCTGTCACTTTATGAAATCTCTTTTCTTTGTGTCCTTGCTCTCTCCTCCTGATGCGTCCTCCTCTAGCAGATAAAAACAAGCCCAAATGTCCCTGACCTGCTGTCTGTGTGTGTGCGTGGTGCATTTGCGATACAAGTCATACACACATTCTGAAGTGAGAACACAAGTCAGCAAAATCTGTCTAGGGACACAGAAAGGGAGAAAAGGAGAGGAAACAGTGGCTGTTAAACAATTTAATGCTCTCCATGTTTCAGGGGCATTTTTTCAGACATGGTAAATATTCACTGTAAAAAAAAAAGTCTCATAATTACAGAAAGGGGGCTATTTTATCGTCAGCTGTCAGGTCTAGTTTTACACACTTCTGCAAACATGAAATTGTAGAAATTGGAAGAATGGATAGATTGTAGAAACCCAGCAAAGTCCAAACACTTTAACAGGACTGAGATCATTTCCTTCAACAACTCTCAGCTGAAGAGGTAGCCCTCCTTCATCGTCATTCTACCCACCTGGCAGCAAAACAAACCCCATCATGATGCTACCAGCGGGGTTTGAAACCTCACCTTACTCCATCAAGCAAACCTTTCTCCAACATGCTTTTGGCCAGTTCCTGTGGGAAACTGCTCATTTCATTTTGGACGGAAACAATCTGCCTCATCATCTCAGTCCATGACTATTAAACATGTCTCTACAAGAAGCTCTAAGAACACTGATGTTCCAGCAGGTTTCAGCTCATGTTTGCCTTCATGGTTCCTTGGCTGTTCCAAAATGTCTCAACCAATTGGCTTTTCTAAGGGTAACAACATGTGACAGCTTTCCAGATCAGAGGGGAGAGATATCCAGAAAAACACAGCCATGTAAGAGCTCAAAATTCCTTTAGAAACTGCACAGAAAGACTTCTCTAGCTTGTATGTATCTAGATTTGTATGTATAAGCTGTAAAACAAGTGGTATTTAAATTGACGAGGAACACCCCAATGTTGCCAAGGAAGGTCAATAATTGGAATACATCACCTGATATTGTACACATTGATTTCTCAGTAGAATTCCTCTACCTACTTGTTTGCCAAATCGCAGCCTGCTCCCCTGCGACTCTCAGCCAAATCCCCTCCAACTTCCAGCCACTGGCCTTCTCCTGGGCGTGCATTTTTTTTACTCTGACTCCACCCTTTCATTGAAATAGAGGGTCTGACCAGAAGATGACACTTCTCTTTAGGTCTTAATGTCCACAAATCATGACAGAAAGAATAATTTAGTACAAAGATTGATGTTTAACAAGGAACGGTAGGGAATGAGAATGTGTTAAAAGTGATTTTATCTGCCTTTAACAATGTTACTGAGGGTATATCTCCATGTTATGATATAAAAATAGACATTAGGCACCACTAGGGGTGAACAATTCAAACTACATGAATAAATGGCGCAATATAAATGTATCCAGTAACAATGATATGACTGTTACAATATTTTATAATACATTACATTCTATGATTATAGCATATCTCACTGACTGACGTTTCAGGTTTTATGTGGGTTTTTCTTTTTCAAATGAGGAAAATTCTTAAATCTCATGTTACAGGCGTGTTATTATGTCATTATATCTGAGGCATTTATTTGATCTATATGGATATTAGAAATTATATCCATAAAGGTATTTTGATATAAATTTGACCAATATTCTCCAGGTGAATCTCCCACATGCTTTCTTAAGGAAAAATATGAGTCTTCAAGCGGCATTCAAAGTAGGGCAGAGAAGGAGGCTGCATCCAAAGAAGCTCCTTCCTCTGCCTGGCTGTGTGTTTCCTGGACTGGCCGCCTTTAACAGCTGCTTTTTGTATGTCTGCTTCTGTCTCCTTGAACCCCAGTCGGCCTCAGCAGATGGCCGCTCACACTCAGTCTGGTTCTACTGGAGGTTTCTTCCTGTTAAAAGGGAGTTTTTCCTCTCCACTGTCGCTACAAGCATGCTTAGTGTGAGGGATTGCATTTGAGTCAATGAGTTGATGCAATCAACTGGTTTTCCTTAGATAGAAAACTTTTAATCAATCTGACTGGATGATCTGGGGAACTGGAAAGTGAATTGAGATGACGTGTTGTGAATTGGCGCTATATAAATAAACTAAATTGAATTTAATTTAATTATATGCCTGCTTTAAAAACAATGATCTAACATTTCTAAATTGATTCTGATATTAACTGTTAGGGATAAACTCCTATAACTAAAGATAATTTATGTATTTTCCACTGTGAATGATAATATAAGTATCAGAATGCTTTCCAAAAAAGTAAAAAAAACAATCCACTTTCTTTGCAAGTTTGAAGAAGTTTTCGCTTGCCATCCAAAATGAATGGAATGGGGTTCCCATTCGTCCGTTTCAATTTGCATGTTGTCTAAGCAAAAACAAGGCTTTGCTGGGCTACTTTATAAAGCAACTTAACGCTATTTCTGACATTTGAATTGAAAACGCTCATGTAATACAGATAACAGCAAAAAAAATGTTTTCAATTCTTGCAGTCCAATTTGAGATCCGACCGGATGGGATCAAAACAATTTGATTCTAAATCTTGAGGATTGGAAATGAATCGATTCTTAAATTCTGAATAGATACTAAGCTCTAATCACCTAGATGAGCTTCAGCCTCGTGTTTGGGACGACCGTGGGCAGCTGACCTCAGAGTCGCTGAAGGAGAGCATGGGAGAAGCAGGTCCAAAAGAGCAAAGCCATTAACTCATTAAAATAACATCAAAGAATTCCTCAATCATTGCATTTAGAAAAAGCCCCAGGACTTGATCTCCAGCATGAAGACACGGGTATTACTGGAGCAACATGCATTCTGTTGAATCAAAGAAAAGCTGTCCTTGTGTGTAGGTGAGTGTGTGAGGATGTCCGGTATGTGGTGTGCGTTTTTTCTATAAGTAGTGGAAACTATTCATCATGATAAGCAAAAACACACAAACAGAAAAGAAAGCAGGGTCTGTATGTGGCTTTTTTTCAGACTAATACACATTTAGTTCAGTTTTGATTTTGGACAAATCTTATTATCCTGTTTACTACTGAGCTATGATAGAGTTCAAAGTTTAGCTGGATGAGAGTTACCAATAACAAACGCTGAAAACATACAGTGTAGACACGAAAATCTTCTGATAATGAGGTTAGAAAAGAGACTTCTAGGCTCCACTGATGAATCCTGAACTAACAAACCCCTAAACACCAGATGAAGCTGAGACCCAGGCAGCCAGGGGACATAGATTCTTCACAGCTATATTAAAAACGGACTCATGTGGAATCTGGTCACCCAGTTAAAACATATGGTCAGGTATAATGGGAACACATGACGTGAAAAGTAACAGCATGTCAAGAGCTTCAGTTTTAGCTCCAGTCTGTAAAGCTGATATCTCGTCTTAGTCTCACTACTTAAATCCGTCACATAACTTTGTGGGTTGAAATATTTATGAACTAGTGGAATAAAAAGTGATTTCATCTGTGAACAAGCAAAAAAAAACAATAATAATAACGGTTTCCTAATCCACTAAACTGTCAATGAGCTGCATACTTTTGCTGAAAGGTTTAAAATACTGCATTGGAGTTCTTCCATTGCCTTTCAAAAGTCCAGAGCTTTTGTGAAAGCTGTGGCTTTCCAAGGCTGCGTATGGTTTGGTGAAACTACCTGAGTTACCATTTACCCAGCTAATTTCATTTTCCATGAACTTTATATTCCTGCAGCAATCCAGAGGTAGGCCATCGAAATGTTCCCTGGGACTGCAGTAGGGGAGGCAGTGGTGCGTTCAAATTCATGGGATGCATCCTCCGAAGGCGAGACTCATTGGCCGATTATGACATAGCGCGACACCGACGCCTGTTCAGATTCCAAGACTCCTCGTTATGCGGTGGACAAATGCGTCCTTCTTTTAGCCTGATTTGAAGGACGGGTTCGCTGTATCCTACGTATCCTTGAATATTCCAGGATTCATTGCGAGACCAAGTAAGCCGGCTGCTCCGTGATCAGAGGAGAAGGTATTTGGCGCGAACAGTGATGAATATTGGAAGTTGAGTTTAATAAAATACAAGTATGTGAATAGTTCCATCTGAAATGAATGAAAATAGTTGTTTTATTGGTTATTGATTCAGATATGTGGCGGTAATGTTTGATTTATCAAAAGGTTTTTATTTGAAAACAATTATATAAATGTACAGATTTGTCAGGTTTTTAAGGCAGAAACTAGACTTTAATCTTTTTATCTATGTAGTTAGTTTATCAAGACTTTGCCTACTTTGAAATCTGCTTTCATGCAGAGCAGATGAGCTCCGCCCAGCCTGGCTGCTGTGCTTTCTCCTCTCACCGCTGTCAATCAGAGGCAGTCTTACTCCCAACTTCTCAAAAACTGAAGCTTGGTGAACCCTGCTGCACGTCACATGCTGACGGGACGGGAGACCCGCCTCACTATTTAGTGGCAAACAAGGTTTATGAGAGGTTGTGGCAGGAGCTTGTAAAAATTTTACATGAGCTGCAAACCGTGGAACTAACAATAATCCTGAAATCTATACCTTGTTCTGACTGAGCTGATCCGTACTGAGAGGAAGGTTTGGTTTAAACATTAGTAGTGTTGTCAATGTGCTGATCAGTGCCACTGAGAGAGGGGCTGGAAAATTTAACAGGATAATAAAAAAATAAATAAAAGTGCTGCCTACAGTACCAATAAGGGCTTACTAAATTATTAATTATTACTTTTAT